AAGTCGAGGAAAATAAGAGTTAATAGGGGCAAAAACAAAAAAATAATCAACGTCTCTAGAAAGGCTTGTTTTCGAACACAGCACCATTATTTAAGGCCTTGGTGTCCTTCCCTTTTTAATGACACTTGTAATAAGATAACACAATCTTAAGGTGACTAATCACCTCATAAGTTCTAATAATGCCACGTTAATACTTGAGGGAAAAGGAAATTATTTCCTTATTGTGAAGAATGAGCACGACTTTATTAAATAAGTTGGGACACTTAGCGACGGCTTTATGCTTGCTAATTGTGATTAATTATCAATTAATCACAATTGAATTCTTAATTAATTAATTAAGCATAACACTTAATTACCAAAATTATTCCGAACATAAACGGAACGTCGAAAATAATTTCGGGTAATCTCGACTGAAAATAATTTAATTCCGAAAATAATAATCGACAACGTTATTATATCGGAACTAAAACATGATTTATATTATTAATCTGACGGGCTATTCCCAACTGAATAATTAATTCCGAACTCATTAATTAAATAAACAAATTGGAAATTAAATCTGGAAACTTATTCGGTTACTTAAATAATTAAACCGAATAATTTATCGAATAATAGTCGAACTTGGAATAGACTAGCTGATTAACTTGAACTTGAACATGAACATGATTATTTATTAACAAAGGCTAGCTTAAAACTAAAAGCTAGTATTTTCCTTTATTAATAAAATACGGGGCGTTACAGAAGGAGTATGCGGTTCTATTCATTCCATTCTTTCATTACAATGAACATATGTGATGTTCGAAATCGCTTCTGTGTGGTTCATTCTAAGTAGCTAACGAAAAAGGCATAACAAGCAAGTCAGCTGCTTTCGGTCTCGGTCCAAGGCATTCTCTAAAGTAGTAAAGGCAAGACGTAAAAGCAGGAATAAAGGTTGCTAGTTACCACCCAAGTAAGTATGGGGCACATCTATTGATGTAGCTATCGGGAAAGACAGGCATAAAAAGCTGGCAGATCGGCATGGGCGGTATGGTTAATATCTTTTCCGGTCACTCTTAAGGATCCTTATCCTTCATGTCTATCTTCCATGACAAGATGAAAGATATTGCCTCCTCGCTATACAGCTGCTGCCACTGCCATTTCCCAAGAGGATTCCATCCGTTTTCTTCTCCCGGGTTGCGGAATGAAGTCCCAATGGAAGCAGGCTCGATGTAATTGACCTTCTGCCGATCACGGCCCTTGCCTTAAGTGCCTCTGGACAGTTTTGATTCTGCCGTAGATCGAGTTCGGGCTGGTACGAAAGTCAGATTCAGCGAATGAGTTAGCCTCAATTACATGGACCAAACGAACGAAGCGAAGCGAAGTGAAGTCATAGAGGAAGGAGCTAACTATATCATGATAAGGGGGAATGCCTGAACTTCGTACTCAAAATGTGCTTTATTTTCAATTAGTCATAATTTAGCAGTTAGTCCATAGATTTACCAAAGACTTTTCTAATTTTTTGTAATCGACGGCACTAAACTAATGCACTAAAGCACAGCAGCGTCTTCAGAGATGGAACTACTTCCTTCAAAACCTTAACCCTTACTTCCTCTCCCGCTCCTTTTTTATGACTAAACTTCGCTTCGAAAAGTTTGTATGGTTGTCAATTACATCGAGCCAGGATTTGCGTAGAAGGGAAAGCAAGCAAAAGAGAGACTGAAAGCGATTCACCGAGTAAGAGAAAATGTTCGGGTTGGGGTAGAGAATAGATACGGATTGAAACTAGAAAATATACAACAAAGGGACTTATTCTATTTGAACAAGACCACAGGAAGCGCACAAAGGTTTGAACCATAGGGCAGGGACGGCGACCAAGAACATCCGAGAACTCGGTCTAGGTCTTTCCTTCTGATCCTAATAAAGGCTTAGATTGAGAGCAGGAGAAAAAGGCAGATGGACCACCATTGATAATGATAAGAATCGACCGTGGCAAGGAAGTTCAATTGTTGATTCAGAGAATGCCCTGTGAGAAGGACAGGAAGAACCGGCTTTGGTTAATATTTGGGAGAAAAGAAAGAATTGTAAGCGAGAAAGCCCTTGATCCGAGAAGGAAAGAAAATGGAAAATCTACCACCAGAGAATGAAGGTAGTCCGAATGGATTCGGTCTTATACAAATACGAGGGTTATTGAACTGATAATAGGAGCGAATGAATGAGCGCGAGAATGCATGTTCTGATGGAGAAATGGACAAAAGAAATCGATTCTTTTTTCTTTTAGTCTTTAACCCGGTTGAGTCAATTGCATCGAACCTACAAATGAAGCAGCAAGAAAACGGATGCGCGTTAGTGCAATGGCTTTCGCGCTAGTTGCTCAATCCGTTGCTTTTTCAGTGACGTCAGAAGTATGACGAAGTTCAGTCATAGAAGAGCTAAGGGTCAAGTTGATAATTTTTCTTACATCTCCCCCTCCCGGAGCCCAAGTATCGTATACGCCCCCAAAATAAAGAGCCTTGAAGACTAGAAGAAAGGCACCCAGACCCAACAAGATTAAGTTCATACCCAAAATTGTGGTCATTTTGTTTTTATCTTTCCATACATAACCGAAGAATGGAAAAGATTCTTCCAGTGTCTCGGGTCCTAGAAGTGCATGATAAATACCGCTCCTGCAGAGGAAATTGAATGAAGGACTCCAGATACAAAGTATAGAAAGGCATCTACAACTTCCCCTCAGGACCTACTCCCCAACCTAGAGTAGCTAAATGGGGAAGTCAAATTAATCCTTGTTCATACATAGGCTTCTCTGGTACAAAATGAGCTACTTCAAATTGTATAAGTCTCTATCTCGTGTGGCTGTCTATCCACTATTTTATGTGTATATGCTTCTGGTGGGGAAATCGTCCCATCGTCTGAAACGAAAACGGGTGCCTCTGGCTTCGGATCAGGTGAGGGCGCTGGACGGGGCAGGGAAGCTTACCGCTCCGTGGGTATTAAAAGGGCAAAGGTTTTTGAGGGGGCTACAAGAAACTTTCCCTTACCTTGCTTGTAGGCTTCAGGATCGATAGCCCAATTGACGTCACAGGGAACGAGTGAACCCGCTGTTCCAAGAGCAGAAGTAGGCGCGTAAGCCACTTCATCTTCATTTACAGATTACGGAACATAGAAACGAAATAATCTAAAAGGGCCATGAGAAAGAGGAAGTCTTCGTCTAAGACAGCCAGTGCTACTATATCGGATCGGGCAATCAGATTAGCTGCTAAAACATCGGGATATCTGACAACAACTATCGATTATCCAACAACTGGGCCGCATAACATGAGTGAAACTCAAGCACTCGAATATCAGTAGAAAGGCCTCACGCCAACGCAACTCTCAAACCATCGGCGAGAGGAGGGAGCTTTCGTTGCAACTCAAACCAAGTGAGCGGATCGGGATAGAAAGGTTCCAAGATCTTAGTGGAAAGGTCAAGTGTGAAGCGCTAGTTCCATGCCTTCTACTTAGGAAAGCCCTCAATCTTCAAGCCCCTTGTATAAGTTGGGGCCCAGCGTTGATAAATCTTCTATCAGGTTTGATTTCGACCCTGATGAACCTGGCACCTCTCTTGCAGAAAGCCAGAAAGTAGAAGCTAAGGAAAAGGCATTGGATGGGATGACTCTATCTATGGGCCCAAATGCCACTCAATTTCAAAGGTGAGTAGCGTAGACACTTGACCGATAGGTTACGGAGCGTGAAGCCAAAGACATTACAAATGACAAGCAGAAGTAGGAGCGATAGCCACATACTATGATTATGAATAAAAGGCCCTAGCCAACCCCTGTCAAGGGTAGGCGAAAGAAGGGGTATTCTACTCAAAGACAGGTCGGAAAAGGAAAATTCTATCCTGCTTGATTGATCACCAGCGTCGAATGCAATCTTTTAATAAATTCCTCGATTACCGGCATAGAATGGATGAGCTCTTATGAGTTTCCCACTATCGAATCATCTCATTTCCTATGTAGGGAATTGAAAGAGAAAATAAAAAGACATCAAGGCCTAAGTAAGATCAATGATGATATTCTCTTAAAATAGCAAGAATATATGGTGGAGGACTCTGTACCCAGTAAGGTCGACACAGTCAGTCAGGAAGATGCTTTACCACGGTTTTGTAATTTTCTTTTATTCCCCCGTTTAGTCACCAAAAAAGTAGAAAAGGAAGGAAGAAAGAAAAGACAGGTTTGCGGAGTAACTCGAACCTAATCTCATTAGTGACACTACACACTTTTCCAATCTCGGAAATGAAATCGTACTTGCCGACGAATCCATTGATCAAATTGGGGCAGATTTCTTAGTCAGCTCAGAAAGAAAACTGTCATTTCTTCTAATGATCGATAACTCAGGAGCATAAACTTCCACTTACAAGGAAATCAAAGCGCGACCTCGTGAACCCGCCTAAATCTCCCTCAGGCATATCTAGTCAAGAAAAGCGCTTACTCCTCCCTTCGTACTAAATCGGAGTGGTATATCTCGTGAAGTTCTTTCCTAATGTCGATTGAGATGGGTCTCTCGAGGATTGAGTATATGGGGCTTCTATGCCAGCCTTTCGATTTCCTTCCTTGTGATCGATGGCTCAACTAAACGCGTTTAGTAAAAATGGTGCAGGAGAGCCCCTGGCTAGAAACCCGAGTTTCCATTCGAAGCGCTTTCTCGATCCTAATCTTTATTGGTCCAAATCTGGTAAATTGCCTTGCCCAAAAGAGCCGATCTCCTGGCACGACTGGAAAATGAGCTTGCCCATGCCGAAAGCAGTTAGTTTCGGACCTCTGTACCCACTTTAGCTTGCCTTCCTTTTCTCGATGACCCAACCGGTAATTCGAAAGGGTGACTCTCTCCTCCAGTTTGAGTTTATCTGGTTGAGGAGAAATATAGACCCCCCAGGGGGATAACTTTGTCAAGGGTGAAACCCCTAACACTAAGAATCTGGTTCCCCAACCCTCTAAATAAGATTCCGATCTTCGAAAGCGACCCCTCGATAGAGAGTTCCTTTGCGAGCTGAGAACTGGACCCAACGAACGAAGCGAAGCGAAGTGAAGTCAAATGGTACTTGCAAACTTGACTCTCAAGTGCTCAAGCGAGGACTCTGATCTTCCCTTTCTCTGGCTTCTGATATCAACTTCTCATATGCCATTTTTGAAGTCACTCGATCGAGGAAGTAAATCACCCAGAGGCATATCTAGGTGTCAAAAGTGCGCCTCCTTTCTCAGTCCAGGGGCTAGGTCTGTCGTTCTAGGTTAGGTAAAACGAGCTCAACCCTCTTAATCTCGTAAATCCCCCGTAGGCATAGCTAGTGATCTCGCTCGAGGCTAATCATTGCTCAAGAGCCCAAGGTCAAATCGAGGTATATTTCTTTCCCCTTCCTAAAGACTCCTCGGGCATATCTAGGAAAGGGAAATGCACTTTCTTTCCCCCTCGTGTCAGATTTTTCAAAAAGGAGATATGGTGGTTTATCTGGATCGGACCTTTATATATGAAAAATTGTACTTTTTTCCCCCTCGTGGATGAATGATCATAAAACTCTGTCTCCTGGGCATAGAAATCTGGGGGTGGAAATATGTGGTATGTTTCCTAACCTGGCTCAAGGACTGGGAAATTTGAAGATCTCGGACCTTCTTTCTTGACTTCCTTGTCTACCCCAGATTAGATCTCGGCTTCTACTCTTTCCTGGTCATACGTGGAACTTCAAATCCATCTTCCCCGAACCTCATTACATCGAACCTTGCCCTTTCTTTCTGGCTTGTCTCGGAGTCCTGGGATCCCGGCTCTTAGCATATTTGGTATTGGTATCTAGGAACTCAACCCCAGCCAGGTCCTTGCTTTTACTCACCCAAATGGGAAACTGAAAGCGAAAGCCCAGATCCTGAAGTTTAGAGCAGGCAAACTTGAAAGCCTTCTTCCGAACTCGAAATCCACTCTTGACTGGTCAATTTCAAATTGCTTTTCAATCTCCTATGACCCAACGAACAAAGCGAAGCGAAGTGAAGTCAAATGGTACTGGATCTCTTGTCCGTCCTCTCTCTTCCTAAAGTAATATCTCGTGAAATGACTAGTCCTTGCCCTGAACTCAAGATGGGAGGAGTGGGTCGGTAAGAGTTCGCCCTAATCTCTCGTCAAGTCGACTATATAAGATGTAGTTGGATTGGGGTTCGCCTAAGCCCTTTTGTCTGTTCCTTACGCGTAACTCGTCATATGTTGGGGTGGGGTAAGAGTTGGGCGAAGAAGTGGAAGAGTTGGTTAGCTTCTCCTACTATCGAAAGATTCATATCTTAGTCGCCCAATTGGGAAACCCTCTGTCTGAGGATGGTTTAAGGGGAGCTCACTCGAGGCAAGTGGAATTTCTCCCTCTGTAAGCGTTGGCCCTGAGAAGTCCTGGCACGCGCTAATATAATATGTTGGATCTTTCTTTCTTCGAGGACACATCTGTAAAGCGCTCATACCAACTGTCCCCAAAAGTGGTCTATTCAAAACTTGAGTTCTTCTGCTCCTCTCCCTATGGTCGAGTGACTCCGTTCCTTGCTTGTGATCCTGTTAGTGGTATGCTGTAAAAGCTATGTTTTGCAGATTCTATCATTTCCATTTTGATCTGGCAATCATGTTTCGGTCAAAGTACATATGTTTGCAGTTTATTTATTTATGCAATACATACTCCATGTATTATATTGAGGTAGTGTGGTTCGAAGAG